CACGCGTCACTGACATTTTGTTCATTCGTCGCCGATATCAGTTGCGCCTGCCGGGCGAGATCGTTAGTGATGTGCAGAGTTGCCAGATGTGGGGATTTTGCCCCATTTTAAGGATTTATGAAACCATTTGGGTATAGATTTTTTCGTTTGGGGATGTGGGGATTTTTGTTTGGTTTAAAACTTTGATATTGAAATTGAAACATATATTTTTCTGGCTGCCCATAAAAATTTCTCGAATAAAGATTTTATTAGTACATACTTTTTGCGCGATATGTTTGTAAGGTTTTCCTAACGCCGTCAAAACATTATTCGGCGCAGATGTCTGCTGTGATTGGCTTTCACTGAGCAAACAATTTTCGCAACAACCTCCACGAAAGAAATTCTAAAAAATAAATGGTATTCTTTAGCTATTTGAGACTTCTACTTTATTACACTACTTTACACTTTTATTTATGCTGTTTCTGTTGTAGATTGAATTATATTTTAAAAGAAAATAAATGTACGTATGTACATGTACATATATAAATTTTTGAAAATGTGTAGAGAAAAGTATTGAAAACTGTAATAAAATGAAAACTGTGTTTAAATGAAAACTGTATTAAAATGAAAACTGGATTAAAATGAACTAACACAAATGTGAATACATGCTTTTTTTATTTCTTACTAAAGTGGATTTAAATGAGGATTTAAAAGAAAAAATGCGGATTTTTTGGGGATAACTGCGGCCCGATATGGGGATAGGGTACAAAAATATTCTGGCACCACCAATACTTCAAAAAGATTTCGGTACCCAATACTTTCTTTTCGGTACCCAATACCGATTATATACTCAGACTAAACTTTCAACATAAAATACATTTACCGTTAAGAAAAAAAAATTATTGCTGTTATATATGTATATTAGACTACACCACTCCCCATACAAAAAAAAATCGGTGCTATTTTTCCATCGGAATTATAAAATTGATTATATTTTAAGACGTCCACCAAAATATTTCGGAAAAATTTAAGATTTAAGCGAGCTGGACCGATTTGAAAATACCTCCAAAAATGGAGTTTTTTTATGAATAAAAATAGTTTCTTGAAGATGTTTTTTGAAAAAATCCCCTAAAATGACAAAACGGTTTAAGCTTACAAAATTTGTATAAAAATGTATTTAAAAAATTAAAAAAAAATTTGAAAGGAATCTAATAATGAGATTTTTGATTCTGTTTTTTAACTTTTTTCAAAGAATGGTATAAGAAAAACTTGAATAACTGAACCTACACTCTTCCGATTTAGACTTGTGAGGTATCATTGGAAAGGTATTTTCTCACCTTTTTTATTTCTTTGCTAACAAGCTCATTCAAAGGATGAAAGGGAAAAGTACGATGAAGGAACATCATTCAAAGTTGAATTAAGATGTGTTGCTATTTGAAAAAAAAACTTGGGACACGAATGACTTTTTTTTGCACATAAATAACAATAGTGGGAAAATACCTTTCTACCGAGATCCCATAAGTGTACATCAAAGTAGTTTTGGCCCAGTTATTTTAGTTTTACGTAAATCAATGTTTGAAAAAAGTAAAAAAGAGCATCAAAAATCTCATTATTACGATTCCGGTGAAAAGATTTTTTAAACTTTTTTATGTAGATTTTTTAAGCGTAATCTGTTTTGTCATCTAAGGTGACATTTTTCAAAAAGTTCTTTAATACTAGGTTCACATATAAGTAGATTATCCTCATTTTCGAGCTTAACACCCTAATCTGTAATTATAACAAGAGATTAGCCATATAAAATTCGTCCCTTGTTAATCTGTAATTATAAAATAATCTCAGATTTAACCGATAACTTTTCGGTGTCCATCCTAGTTTTATCAATTGTTTTTGCGAATGAGAGGAGAAATGCCAAATGTAAAAGTAAACAAATATGTACGCTAGCAAGTAAAAGAGGTTTGTAAAGGTATTTTTAATAAAATGTTAAGTTAAAATATATTTATATTGCTTATTATAGCAGAAAAACGTGATCACGGTGGCACAGGGAAGAAACATAACTTTTCCTTGAGATGTGAGAATAACAAGCACAACAAATTTGACGGCGGATAATCTGAGATTTGCCTGTGTAAACGTGGTGATTAAAAAACGAGCTTTGATTGAAATAATATTGATATGTGAACATAGTTTAAGAAACTATTTTTTTTCATAAAAAGCTCCATTTTTGGAGGTATTTTCAAATCGGTCAGCTTGCTCAAATCTTAATATTTTTCCGAAATATTGTGGTGGACGTCTTAAAATATAATAAATTTTGTAATCACGGCGGAAAAGCCGCAACTTTCTTTTGGTTATGCAGTCTAATGTATATGTATGATATTGCCTAAATAACAATGTGGCGTATTCATAGTCAATATAAAGTCAACACTTAAGTAGCTGCAGCTTTTTGACATAATTTTTAACAGAATATCTGTTAAAAATATTTACTGCATCGACTTTATTTCAACTATGAATATGCTTCATAATTATTACGAATAAGGCAATGCTTTCCCAAAAGTTTAACAATTTGTACTGAACAATGTAAAACCACATTTCGGAAATATTGCCATCTTAAACAATACTCTCATCGCTTTCTTAACCTTCTCGCAACAGTAATCCCTGCCAGCATTATCTATTGTGGATGTTACTAATACGACACGATATTTCTGGGAAAATCATCGCCGATGATATCGCTATTTTTTCGAATTCTTATCCGCTCTCAGGAATAGCTGTTCCACCAAGACGTCACGTCTTTATGAATCGAATGCGATACAGCAATTAGGAACTATTTCGATAGGAATGACAGTAACTTGTGCGATAAAGACTGAAATGTTAAAGAAGACTCTTCTGTTGGTTAAACTTTTGATAAAACTCAATAGGAAATTTGGTATCTCTGAGCTTGCAACCACAGCCGCAGAGTTACTTACGCCATTTTCATCCTGCTTTCGGCTTAGATTGCTAGCTCAAACGTACTTATATTTTATGAAATTCCAACTAAACATTTTTAAAAGCAGTCAAAAGGCATTAACATAATGAGGCATATTCTTGTTTTCGTACGAATCGAAATTTCATGATTTTCGATTCGTACGAAAACAAGAATACGCCCCAATAAATCGAATAACGCACCCGTTTAAAATCTAAACATAATTTTATTATTAGTTATTCGAAGAAGATTGCCTGCACGTTAACTGAAAACTAAAAAAAATTTGAAAACAAAAATAAAATTTTACTTGATTGAACTTTCAAGATTTGCCTTGTTAATTTTGAAAAGTTCAAAGAGCAAAAATCGCCAGAGCTCCTCTTAAGATGATAGAAAAGCGACAGAAACGTTTTTTGTTTTTGTGAAATGAGTTACTATCGCTTTGATAACTTCCAATAGTGAAGAAGAAGTGACATACGAGCGATAGGCGATAAAATTCTTTTCCAAATGCTGGCAGGGAAGATACCATTTTTTTAGTTTCCATCTTCGTAAAAAACG